TTTAAAATGTTTCATTGTATAACAAGTAACCACTTATTTTTTATTGACTAAGTAATCTGGTGAAAATATTTTTCTACATATATTTAATTAGTCCAACAACCATTCTAAGTATTTTACTTAATTAGTGAATTGAACAACCGCAATTATAACATAAAGACATACTTATCATTTATGGGGTTGTGTAGATTGTTAAGTTTTTGATTCAGATCATAAATCGATTGATATTAGACCACCATTGAAAACCTGGAAGCACTGAACGCCCGTTTCGTTCTAGTGTGGGACTTCTCGGAAGTGCGCATCAAAGATTCCGCATCATCGGGACTCAAACTTAGGACCTTCCATCTTGTGCTCCAATGGTGTTAAGACATAAACTTAGTTACGATTACACATGGAAATATTAAATAGGTACATTTCAATTGACCCTAAGGGTATTTGAAACTGTCTACTGAAAGATCTACAAAATTCAAGAAGAAATAACTTCTCAGCACGTCATTTGTTATAGTTTTAAAGCAATTATTTAAAAATCACTCTACTTAATTATACACTTTACCAAAAGTCTAGGTGATCAATCTGTGTACATTAATTAAAAGAAAAAAGCACTGCTTGATAGTAAGAAATCAGTGCATTTAGTTTGCTCAAGCATAAACATGAAATCAACAAACAAGAACACAGTACTGGTTCATTATGCATAGACATGTTTTTGACGTCGAAAAGAAGAAACTTAAAAAATCACACCATTAATAGTAAATGGTATCAGTTTCATCAATTACTTCATAAATAGACGTAAAGATAACCTGTTTCTTTAGAAGAAAAAACAGCCGTAGACACTAACCATTGCATTTTGTGAAATCAAAAATTATGTGTATGTATTTCAAGAAACTGATTATTTTTCTATTAAGATTTAAGTATTTAGTAGGTTTCATTTTAGAGTATAAGGGGTTATGGAGTGAATTTTTAAATCACTCATTGATCTTAGACAATCATAACGAACTAGGAGTTATTGAACAGATGCTTTTTTAGTACAGGGCTCCATAGAAGTGAGCACCCGTTACTTGACCAGGGTTCGAACTCAGGGTTTTCAAGCGTCAATCGACTCGTGTTATTGTTAGAACACTATTCATTGTCATTGATGATAACTTCCACCTTCTGATATTACTGAGTCAAACATTCATGACATCTTACTAGAACCCTTGAAATTACCGTTTGAAGTAATTTACTGGTAAAGACATGATGATTTTTTATTTATAGAGGATTGTGAAGGTATGCGAGTTAAGCGCCATCTCGGATGCTTGGATGTTCCGAACTCAGTTCTGGGAGGGGTCATAAACGCGAAATCCTGTGGAGTCCCATACTAAGAAGAAATAGATGTCCGTTGCTTCCTAGTTTACAGTGGTTACCTAACTTAAGTCATTTCGTTATATAATACTACAGGATATTTTGTTGGATAAGACAAGCGGCTTCAGAGTTTAATCACTTTTTATTATATTATCAACATTGGGTAAATACCAGGAATTAAATAGCAGTTGCCTTGTTACGGATAGCAGTCCCTCAAAAATTCATATCCATAACGAATGATACTGAAGCCAGAATATTTATGTTTTACAATAAATACGATTTTATTCATTGAGAATCTAGAGATTCACAATATTTTAAAATTAGTCAATCTAATACAACACGTGATCATCTACTGGTGGACATTTAAGCCACCCTCATTTGAACTTTCTTTACAGGTTATAGTATTCCACAGCAATTTTGAAACACTTATCTTTCAAAAAATCACTAACAAGCAAGAAAATGAATACTTCTATGAGTTAAACTATTTTTCTCCGGTCATAAATAGCTGTTTAATGAAGATGAACTTATGTAGAAAATCAGAAAATGCTCACCCATATACAAGCTCATACCCACAAAGCTTCAATAATGAAACAAACTAGGATAGGATCTGAGTTAATGGCTATCAATGATTCAGTAGCTCAATGGATAATGAATTGAGGAGCTGAAACAACAGATACTGGATTTTAGTACCGATGTGAATATATACACTGTGATGTAGATAAATTCAACTGATGAGTCGCAAAGCGAATAAAACACTAGTTCTAGATTCTATTGTTAGTCGCATTCTTTTTATTCTATGAAACCTAATTAAGTTTACTGAATTAAAACAAAATATATCACATTAATTGTGATCATCTACTGGTGGACATCTTATGGAAGAAATTTTAACATCTTTCCCTCAATATTTTGCTAAAACAAAAAAATGATCATAATCGTTAGTGAAATTACTCAAGTAGATTAAGAGTTAGAAATGTAACTTAATGATGTTAATTATCATTTCTGAAGCATCTTAGTAACAATGATGATACAATTATAAAGAATATTAACGGCGATTAATTATTAATATTTAGGTGTGATGTATATATAAAGAATTGCGTAAAAGAAAAGAAATAATTAAAATAGTGACTACATTTCTCTGGTGGCATGAGCTAGTAAAGTATAAAAAAATATTTCAGCAATTAATTCACAAATAGTTTCCCACTATATTCACGGCAATACTAATGACAAATTTCTACTTATACAGAATGATGGGAGTGGATTATGCACAACAAAAAAAACGTCATTATATTTTGATAAACAATAATAGATGATATTGTTCAAATATACTACTTGTTATAAATTGTCATTAGCTGAGGAATTATTACAAAATCAATGTGTATTGAACAATTGTTCTGACTGTAAGTTTATCTTTAGATTTCCAAATAAATATATATTTATATGTAGGATTTTTATGGCTGAAATCGTGAACAACAATTGTAAACCTAGAACCACTGGACGGCCATTTTGTCCTATTATGGAACTCTTCAACAGTACGTATCCACGACCCCGAATGAAGGAATCGAACCTGGGAATTTCGGTCCCCCGTGTGAACACTTAACCCATAAACAACTGAGACGGCATCCGATAGTGTTAATAACTAGCTTCAACCAATTCATAACCTTACGCGTTAAACTGAAAGTCCTGTGACCGGGCACTGTTGATTAATCCCATTCTAGGATGGAACAGTTGTCCAGTTCTGCTACATTTTCAGTGATTGTTTAACTGAGATTGATCCATGATTTCAACTGTGAAAATATATATTAACTAAAGATCTTGGTAATTCAGAAGCATATCCTCACTAATGATTAACTTTGAAGTGAATTTTTCTAGGGTTCAATTATGCAAAGATTTAATAATATAACTAAACAATGAATTAGATCATACATTCTACTTATATAATTGAAGATTATAATACAATCATAATTTGACTGGTGAGAATGTGAAATACTAGTTTAGTGTTTAAACAATGTATTCATTAGGTGACCTTATGATTTTTGGTAAAATTTCATGTGATGCCTTGATTGTTTACTATTGAAGAGACTTAAAATTACAATCTATTTGGTGAATGTAACCTTGAAGGATGTCTTAAAATTTAGAAACGTAAATAGGATAAGTGTATTATTACAAATGGGAAATGTATTAAAGGAAGTGAGATTATTGTGCTCAGAATTTTGTCAAATAAAGTAATTGCGAACTAAATTTGAAGTTTTTTTAACAGTCAATTAATTAACACAATATTGAATTATTTATCTTTTTAATGATTTTTATTCTCACATAGAAGGGAATAAATAATGCAACATAGCAAACATGTGAATAAAACAACCAATCTCTTCGTTTTATCCTTAATATCAAGATATAAAGCATACATTGTTTGAAGAATATCTATTATTCATAACACCATGAATAAAATGTTTCAGTAGTGAATACATAGAGCATGAACTTTCCTTTCCTTGAATTCCTGATTATCAAAGTTCCATTGCTTATCGGAACTACTACTACTATTATTTTTATCTTGTTCGAGAAATCAGAATCAGATATCTCTAGGTTATATTATTATAATAAAGACAGAATGTTTTTTCATCATGAAAAGTTGAAACATTCTGATTTCGCACACTTAAATACATACATAATACTGTGATCAGATTTGATTAAAAGATTCTATATGTAAATGTATATAGCAGAATCGAGTACAAATGACAGACTAAAATAACTTTGACTATTTACTGCATAGCGATTGCCCCTTTTAGTACAGATGATACATTGGTTTCAACCACATGAATATTCTGGCATAATGTACTGACCAGTTAGAATTACAGGGGAATGGCATCGACTCACTTAGGTTATTCCTCATGTTAATGTAATTTTTATTTGCTCAGCCTAATTGTTAATAACTTTGTGCCTTATAAGTTATAGTTTGATCGACACCTGGCTATTTTCCGACCAAAAGCACCCAACGAGGTAGGAGGTGGCTAAGTATACTGATCTCGATGAAAGCTTACTATTTCACTAATGGACTTGCCATCTTTATCTAGTACTATGTTCCTAACCTCAAAATTACTCACTCTGTGGTCACAAAGTAAACAAGCGATTATCTGAAGACGTTTATAATCCAATACTAGTAACCTACGCAGATTCCGTATTCTAAATATTTATGTTTCACAGCAATAAAGTAGGAGGGAGTGAACTGTTTAATAAACTCACTTGGTTGACAGATTGGAAATTTCACCTTTACTATAAACCAATCGAACTTCCTGAATCCGTGCTGCGATTTTGTCAAACACTAATTCACTAGGGTTGATGACATTCTTAACATTGGTTAAGGCGTTGATACAGACTAGTTCTAAAATAACATTCTGAATATAAAGGGTGAGAATCGTATTCCAGGAGCGGTTAGATTTAAGGTAATCTAGATCAACAAGTGAATCTCCTGGGAGCAGATCAACCGCCGAGACATTAGATGATGAAAGCGTCATCTTTGAAGGAATGTCTATAACAAGGTTAAATAAAAGTGGGGAAAGTAGTTATTTTGACGGTCACTACTCCAGTTTCCTCATAAGCTCTAACTCGACCAATAGTGTTCGAATAGAGGTTATACAAGGTTGATGAACTTCGTTAGTACACTTTTCATGTAAATACTTTCAATATTATTATGGCCATGAATACAATCATCATCAAGTTAGTTTATTATTAAGGCCTCAATATAACACTGAATTAATCTCGTTTAATCCAAAAACAGGTGGCATAAATTCATTTTCTGCCTGTGAACAAAAAACAGGTATACTCATGGATAATTAAGGCTAAAAATAAAACAATACCAGTAAGTTTTTTTTTAAAAGGTATTTTGTAGATATAATGTGTGTCATTTCGAAGAGTAAACAACAAATAAAAAGTTGAAGAAAAACACAAATGAAAAAAATAAAAAAAATCATTACAAAGTAGAAGCTGTCATTGTCATAGTACTTACACTTAATTGGTAGTAAGTAAGCGATGTAGCAACACCACTCGCAGCATAAAACAATGATCTTCAGTTGAAACAAGCAAACAAGTACAACGTGGTAGAAAGAAGTGTACAATGATGCATAATGAAAAGCGAGTAGTTACTGACAACTTCTCTCCTTTCCGAAAGATAAAGAAGCCGAAGAAATCTAAGTTAAAAAACAAAAACACCCATTACTATTATTATCGCCATCATCAACAATATGAAATAGAATGTGACGCATGCCAACACACACATATACAGATGTAGAATGATGAGTCCGAGAATGAATAGTAAAAAAATGGAGGAAAAAGATTTCGTGCGCTTATCGGCAACAAATACATGTATTCAAGCAACAATAACCATCATATTAACGAAAGCAGAATAAGCGAAAAGAAAAATACATAAAACAAAATTCAGCATAAAGGGTTGTAATAATCAAATGTATTATTTATATAGAGAAGAAACTGCGGTGTACACAGCAACATAGTAAAGCAAGCATGAAAAGAAAAACGAAATGAAAAGGCAGCATAAGCTTTATTTTGAAGAATTATGACAAAACAATACAAAGATTCTCTGTATGTCAACAATACACATAGATGATCATAATGAAAATGAGCAAGTGAAGATGGATGAAAAAAGATGGGTAGAAACACAATTAAAGGTAAACTTTCAATGCAACAATGTTAACTGACTGATTTTGCAAATAATGATGTGAATGATAATAGTAATTGATCAGAACTATGACGCCAACGATTTCTACGAAGATATATTCTTTTTCAACTGTTTATTGTCTCATTAATTATGACAGAAGATAAGAGTAACAAAATTTGAGAACAGTGAATATAACTCCTTTATTTGCATTAATTCATTAAGACTAGTTTTGCTGATGATACAGGTGTTAACGATATACACCCACATATCCAATCCACTTGAGTAGTTAATTTAATATAAATAGCTAAACCGGGAGACGAGAATATTATTTATAATTAAGTGATTGCCTAATAAATAATGAAGCACTCCATATACATACATGGAGTAGATTTACCATATTCAAATAGGCTTAATAACTATCCTGGAATAGATCAGCATAAAAAAGGGGAAAATTGATGAGAATAATATGTATATGTAGTAACGTAAATTTCTAAGAGTATACAGTAGACAATGGTAGTACACGAACACATGCACACAGATGTACACAAAATGCAGATAATTTTGAAAATAAATCATTAGCAGTAAATCAGTTGTTCGTCTTTTTAATTATTTACTGTATGTATGAGAAATATCCCTTGAAAATTAGCGAGATACTGGGAATGGTAAATTAAAAGAATAAAGTATGCATGTAAGAAGGCTGGAACACAGCATAACGTGTACACATAAAAATACACTAACACACATATGATCAATGCAACAAGATAATCATTACTGACTAACTGTTACATGTAGAAGTGTATTCTTCATTTCAGTGAAAGATTTTAAATGTAACATACTATTGTTACTCGAAGAGAAAAAAGGCGCTTAAATAGTTAAAACCTAATGTCTGTTTTTCAATGTGTTCTATTCTTTTTTTCGCCAGTCAACCCAGATAAATCAGATCTATTGTGTACAAATGACAATGAAATTGAGAATAAGCAATAAAAACATACTCGAAATTTAATACCCTACAAAATCATGTATGTAAACATATTTGACGGAAAGAAAAGAGAAGAGAAAAAAGAATCATTACGTGTTTAATAATGTGAGCAATAAAAATAAAACTTGACAATTAACGAGAAGATAAACAGTGAGTGGATGAATGTGTGAGTATAAAGACAGCGAATAGTTGTGTTTTAAAACCACATAGAATACATATATGTGTAAAATTCAAGAAGAAAACCCAATGGATGTTTATGAATGTTCACATTAATTCATTTGAGATTATTAAGTAATTAATTGTGATTCCTAAGTGTATTATTATTACTTTTTTTATTATATTACACTTGTTAATAATTTGACTTATAAACAAAATTATATTAGAATAGAAAAGTGACTGGGAAAGCTTACAAAACAATAACAACAAACACGAGTAAGCGGTATTAACCTTGATAAAAAACATAATCGGTACTATGATTAAATACTGTAATGTACAATCTAGTGAATGGCTGTACTTTCTGTATGTTAGAGAAAGAGAGAGAGAGAAAAAAGGAAACAGCACAGGAGAAATTACTATGACTTCAAAATGTAATACAATAATAGGTGAATATTTAAATGTGAATAGAACCAAAATGAATAGATTGGATTTATTTATCATTATTGATAACCATAGTTTGTGAATATTATTATTACTACTTTCTAAGAGTATATGTTTTATGTTATATGAATCATTAATATTATTATATGCATGTATAGAGAGTAAAAATGAATTGTGATTACAGAATAAACAGATTTGAGGAAAAGAAATTTTTTTTAGGAAACAATATACAAAAATTAATTGGTTTTCTTGATTCTGTATTGAGATTCAGGGGTTAAATTATTTCTGTTCTCTGGCTAAATTGATCAGGGGAATCAATGAACTCAATGGTTTAGAACATCTGCATATGAATGGATGCTATGAAGACAGATAAAAAACAAGAAAACACAATTAAAGGAATATATCTTCAAAACAAAAGAAGTTATCAATGTATTAAACTATGAGAGATTTATATTAAAAATAGAAAAAACTAATGTGTTTTTCGCGAGTATTGTAGTACGTAATACTAGAATGTACAGAGGGATTATCAGCATGAGAAATAATGAGTAAATAATTAATTCCATTAAGTAAAGGATTATCGTCCTGCTGTGCAGTATATATATATATATATATATATATATATATATATATATATATATATATATATATATATATATACTAAATTTATGATTGAAATTTACATGTTTAAACTGGAGTACAAAGAACCGGTATTTGGAATAAATTAAAAATGACTAACTTGTAATAATTCATTCGCCGTAGCTCTTTGTTCTACATCCACTTCTAGGCAACGATCGAGGAAATTAAGAAATGTGCTTGATAAGCGATCACGTTCTTTAATTTCCGGTTTACCATTAGTAGCGATAAGATACAATGCCTAAAATATAATTGATGTAAAAGAAAAACACGAGAATGTGAAAATCAATGATAACTGTTGAACAAATTGTTGCAATACAATGTATAAACAGTATGATATGTTTAACATTGAATGATAAATATTAAGATTTTTTGGGTGATTTTATGGACGAGTTTCTAGTTGTTAAAATGAAAGAATGTCGATTGATAGACAGAAATGTGATCGAGTGACGACTGATTGTGAGACTATATCACTGACGACACCCATGTATCATTTAAAATCACCATTAACCCAGAACAATAGGTTTTTTATGTTATACGATTACTTGCTTACACATAGACTACGAACACAAAATAAACGTGACAGAATGTCAGAGTTGATTGGAAGAAACCAGTTTACATGTTACTCATTCTCCAATTAATTAAGATCTGAATGTTAAGCCTAGTACTTGTCAGCTGAATCAATAGGAAACTTAACAGATGTGAACTATTCAGTTGTATTTAAAATTAAAGCCGATATATGGTACTTTTAAAGTCTCTGAGATGCATATATACTGGGGACTACCATGAGAAAGGGTGGTACTGTAGAATGAATATTTGCACCGACTTACTGGCTCAATATGATTCTCTGGTTACGTCTTTAACGAACAAATAATCCAATGTCTTTAAAAATTATTACATGAAACGAAACCATGGCACAGTAGGAATCTTGATTGGCCTTTCTTTTTACATGTTCACTCACTAACGAAATCCTTTCAAGTTCAGTGTTCATTGAAACAGGCTTGATAATTATTATGATTAATTGTATTATATGAATATTTGTAGGGAATTTACAAGAGAATTATTGTAAATGATACTACATAACTATGAGACAATTGAATGAGCAATTCTGAACTAATATACATGTGCACATCTTACAAACAAGTGACTATATTTATATAGACAGGATACAATATATTCTTACTCGAACAGGATTTTCATTTAGATAGGGTGGTTCACCATCTACCATTTCAATGGCCATAATACCTAATGACCATATATCCACCTTTGGACCGTATTGTTTACGTAAAACAACTTCTGGTGCCATCCAATACGGCGTGCCGACCATAGTTGAACGTTTAGTTCCATCATTGCTTAATTGTGCACAAAAGCCAAAGTCGGTCAGTTTTACAGATCCATCCATTCCAAGAAGAATATTGTCTGATTTGATATCACGATGAATGACGCGATTTGCGTGAAGAAATTCAAGGGCATGAAGTATCTATTAAGGATAATATAATAAACAAAAGTCAAAATGTACATTATACGGTAACACTTCACATTGGGTTGACGATTGGAATTATTTAGTTACTCTCATGACAAGTGATGTAGTGTAAAAAAATAATTTGTGTTGACTAATTTGATCTAAAAAGAAAACAATAAATAATTTTAAATATCCGACGTCGTTTAGGTGATCATGATTTAATAACCTCCCCACTTCGCATATTTAGTGAGCATTCGTAAACTCGCATTGATAATAATTACCATTTGTGAGATTAGATGGTGGTTGGAGGTAGTCAACAGGCCACATTGCAACATGATCGATAGCATTCGATCTGCACTAATAAGGACTAGACAAGCATGAGATTGATCACCACCCAGTGATCAATCAATTGTAATTACCATTTGTATTTATCAAATTACTCGAACAAAAAAATGACAGAGTAAAGAAAACATTTTTTATCTAGAATAAAATAATAACGAAAATCCAGTGCACCGAATTTCAACAACTTATATTAGAAAGAGTGATTGGTACAAAATACGAAGTTTAAGCATATGCGAACACACACATATGGGATAGGATATGCATTGGTAAATACATTGAAATCATTTTAAGACATCAAACTACGGCCGACTATTATTCAGTGTTTTCATATTCGTAGCTATCCTTAACAGTAATTACATTTCATTTCTTAATCCTATTATAAAAAAGTAAATTGAAAATATTCACTAATAATACGACAGATAAATGCATACGTACATGGTACTTTAATAAATGTCATTATAATCATCAAGACTATATGTGATGGGAATATATGCCGTCTGTCAATAATGTTACTACTGCCTTACAATGTAGGAGTCAACAAAACCAGGATGTATGTAAACATAAAATGCTGCGGTTTACTTAATCAATATATGGTCAACATCTGAGGGTTTGACGTATGTAATTCTGTCGGTCGCTCAGATCAAAATATACGCAATGCGACTTCTGATCATGACTTAACACCAGTTTAAACACGGTAGTGCTCTTGTGGTTTAAGTAGTTGAATTTTATCATTCCACGAGATCGTTTAGAAATGTAGAAATTTTACCTAACTTTTCTAAAACATGAGCCGGCCTAGGTAAGACAACCATTAAAAACCTAAAAGCACTGGATGAACGTTTCGTCCCGGTATACGCGTCCATGAGCTTGCACGCGAGAGTCAAACCCAGGACCTTTGGATTCTCGCGCTTAACCTCCAGATCACGGTATTAATAACTAATCACAACCGACTCATGGCCATCATCCATTTCCCATACTATGACGAAACGACTGTCCAGTGCTTCCGGGTTTTCAGTGGTGAACTAACTTAGATCAGTTCATGATTTTAATGAAATTCAGCAATCTCCAAAGCCCCATACTGAATAAAATAAATATAACACTGAATAGTACACAAGTCAGTACTAAAACAAATTACTTGCATCAACATAACTATAGAAACAATGTAGATACATATATTTATTGATAAGGATAAAGAAAAAAAATTCAAAAACTCGGATGTGATACCAACTGATTTTTTCTCTAATTGTTTTTTCCGTTGTCAAAATCGTAGGGAAAGTATATATTCAGATAACTCCCTCTAGGCAACTGCAATTAAATATGTTACCTTATATCGGTATAGAATTTCCATTTGTTATTTAAGACATTTATAGATGATATAACGTTGAATATATTTGAAGGAAAGAACGATGGATGAAATGGACTCATTGATTTATTTAAACATTGGTTAAAATACCAAAGAATATGATTGCTACTTTGTCAAATATAAGATAAAGATTTTTAAATATATTTAACAGGCAAGGAAACAAAACAATTCTTGAACATATCAAAAGATAGGTAATGGATCAATCTGTTAAATTTGAGAATAAAACGCTGTCAATTATAGTTGGAGCTCATTATCCGACAGAAAACTAAATCAATAACTGTTGGTGATGGATTGAGTTATCCATATACATCTACTGTCTTTTTTATTATACTCAGTAATTCTCATAAATATTGAAGTCCATCATCGAAAAGTTTATTGGAACTGTTTTAGTAAGCTACAGATAGTAATAGCAGGGACCCGAGTTTGTTACTCTGCTCATAATGAATGGGTTTTGTGGAAGAAAAACTAAAAGGTCAGCAAAAATTAAGGATATATTTTATCGGGTATATTCACTGACACATTGCAAGCTGGAGTAACGAATGCATAATGGCCTTAAGGCAATATGTACATACACACACACTTAGCCAGAAGAGAGTAGTAAGACTAAAACATAGATTGGATAGATAAGTAATAGATACGATAACAAAAACTTAAAACTGAAGTTAAAAAAGTGAGGGGAGAGAGAGAGCGAAGAGACATTTGCTAATATTTGGAACAAAATAAGGAGTAGACAGACAAAAACGACAAGACAGCCTATCGGAAAGGGTATATAAAAACACTCATATGAGGACATAAATAAATGCAGTGATAAGCATATCGATTAAATTGGAAAATATATACATCTAACCCTGGGAAAAAATCTACGCACATTTTATGTATATAAATTGTTGCCTATCTGTTTATTTTTCTTCTTGTTCATTCCGAAATTCTATACACATCCGTCAATGAAAAGTGTAACAAATTCCACAATGCATCCGTTTTTTGGGTTCTGCACTATGTTCTATCATAATCAGCTGATAATGTGAATAATTTATCAACCACAAGGTTCCTGAACTCAGTTTTGAAAATCTTGAAATAACTTTATGAAACTATTTCAACAGTACAAAATAGCTTCCTATTAAAATATCACTCTAGAATTCTACACACATCTGAATTGAACAACTAGTTTATTTTAGCCCTCAGAAAAATTCACACCTACCGATCAGAGTTGTTTATATGTATAATGCTATAACGGAACAGATATTGTAAATGTTGGGACTGACTTTTGGAATTGTTATGTATTATAGCTTCGTTGTATAATTTACGGAGTAACTAGATTACTATTTACGTGTGTTCCGTTTATTAAAAGCTTTCGGTTAATCCGTAAACTACTGTAATACGACTTACTATCCCTATATTGTTGCCGGTTTATTATTTACAGTCTACGCTAATCACAGACTTTTTGACTTGTCTATGTAAAACTTTTATTTTTATTTTATAATGTGATGTGGTCCGGTTTGTCTGAATATAACCCATGTCCGTCTGAAATATAATTGTAGTAGAAGCTGGTTGTGAATTTTGAATTCAAAGGATGGGCATAGAAAGGAGCTAGCAGACTAATAGGGACTTAGCTGTTGACTCAAGGTTAACAGTGCAAGTCAGACGTGTAATTGGACAAGTCAGAAACACTAAGCTATTCTTGAAATATTTAAGTGATTTAACTGTAAAAGATTTACATCTACAACCGTTTGAATTATTAAGTAGTTCACCAACGGTGTTATAGTAATAATAGTGGTAACAACGAAATCAGTTTTAACAAGCAGATATTTTCTTTTCACAAGCTTACCTCTCGACAAATTGAAGCAATATGTCCTTCTTCCATACACGTCTCAGTGACAACATCGGTCAGTGAGCCACCATCTAAATACTCCATGACAACCCATAGTTCTTCACCTTTAGATGAATTGCCTGAACTAATTGTTGATGAATTGAGGCTATCATCCTTGTGAGTTGATTGCTGATACTTGTGATTTGAACCGTTCATGTAATGCTGATGATGATCCATATTGGTAGAGACTGAAGTGGACACTAAATAACTGTCTAGATAATTTACAATATTTGCTTGACGATTAGCCTTCATAACCAAAATTTCATTAATGATTAATTCTTTTTTAGGCTGTTGAGCTAAATTCATTTGTTTAATAGCCACTAAACTGCCAGTGGCAATCTCATATCCACTATATACCACACCAGATGCCCTGAAAAAACAACAATGAGACGATGTTTTTTTTTCAAGAAAAAAAAACACAATAGAAATGAGATAGTAATCTATGCTTTATGATATATCCACCATGTAAAGTGAAATTGTAAATTCATTGACAAACAAACAAAATTCATCAACCATCAACTATAGTCCTGTGGTGAGGTGATTTGATAATTAAAATATTCAACCATTAGGTTGGAAGTTAAGACCTGGCCTCACTAACTACTTCGAGTTTAAGCAAGCCACATAATATGGTCTAGATATAGATATACAAGAAAGACAGTCTGTATTCCCTAGAACTACGAAATTCAATAACAAGGGAACTCAAGATTTTTACTTAATGACTAACGATAGTACACCCATTTATTTGAAATGATTTGTTATTAGCTGAAGTGATCATTTAACTAGATAGTTATGTACAAATCAACTATGATATCGGAGAGACAGGCCATTTAGAATTTGAAAACTTTAAAATAACAATGCTCACAAGCATAAGAGATTATGTGAACTGTAGTAAATAAAGGCAGGATTAAAATGATTATATGGTAAAGGTAGTTCCAATTACAGTTATTTTCCCCCAACCTCAGGTTAAGATGAGTATTAACTGTAGTACAAAAAGCCCCAAATGAATTTCGGAATAAATAAATCAAAATGGTACATCGCGTAGCTAACTGAATACACTGCGTTACTGATCTATTCACTTCGATAAGTCCTGAAATAGAGTATGGTATGAAATTCGGATTTCAACTACTCTCTAAGGTAGTGCAAAACGATGCAATTCATTTTTAGAGAAACCAATGAACTTTTTATTTTGGGGATATACTACTCTAAAAGTACAAATAATCTCACAACTGATATCATTATTAGTAAAGGATTAAGTTATCTCGTTGTTAATATTCACGACGGAACTTTGATCAGTTTTGTTGGTACATATACATTTATGTGGATTCCTTTGGCATATCATGACACAAGTTATTTAGAATAAATGGATTGTGGTTGGTAGTGAACGAGTCCCAAGTAGGACACAAGTGTCTTTGCATTCCACTCCCAGCCATAATCCACTTATTTTAAATAACCACAAAACTTATTTTTTAAAAGTTCTCATTGATAGCAGCAAATGTGGTAGGATCGAGAAAACTGCCCATATTTATTCATCAGAATCTATAATTACAATTATTTATCCATAAGTGAGAGTGTAGTAGAATTTAAGTAGATTGATATTACAACGATATAACTATCTGATTATCAAATGAATTAAGCACTCGACTCAAAAGGATTCGAGTGATGTGGAAGTATCAATAAATCAGACATAATAAAGGCAGCTCATGGCTCATCCAATAGTTGTTGTTGTTTAGTCATTTGAATCTACTGTCCTATTCTCATTATTATTAAAACAGCCTTCATGTTACGATAAATAGACCTACGGGAACCTACATTTTCGGAACTAAGCAAAAAACTAATAGCTGTTGTACTCTAAGAAAACGAAAATTTGAAGTGACAAGAAATTAAAAGGAAATAAGTTTTTGTTAAAAAAACTTACCCTTGACCAATTTTATCTACCATACGATATTTTTGATATGGATCACCTTTGCTTACAATAGCTCTTAATTTATCATGCACCTGCTGGTCTGTTAATCGATGATTCCCAGTACGACGCCTAGGTGCACTAGGTGTAGTCGATTTGGCTACATCTTCAGCAGCAGCGTCAGCAGCAGAAGTGGTAGTTGTCGTAATCGTAGCAGTATTACTTGAATCTATTTTATTTGTAGGCGGTTGATGTGGGAAGAAATGAGGAGATTGGTGTATTTTAGTTTGCTGTTGTGTGCGAAACACATGTGTTAAACCCTGTGGTTTGACTGGAACAGCTGGTGGAACATTTCTATCGGAAGTTGATGACTGGATGATCTTCGATGTCCCACTATCTTTACCTATGAGGAATAAGCAGATTCATAGATTGATATAGGCACATAGGAAAATGCAATTATAGTTAGCATATTATGATTTAAGAGACTAAAATGTGAATAACTAGTTTTCCCTAAATCCAAAGACATTTGTCGAAACCTGCACAACTAAGGTATATAAGTATGTATTGGGAGGGGTCAGTAATTGTGAACCAAAATAGTAACTAAAACCTACGCATGAAAACACATATTTTATTACTGTCATCGATTTGGACGGGTAAATTTGATGACATACCCATACTGAAATTTACTCAATTCACTTACTAGTATTGACAAAATTTGGTATATTCTCACTATTTGTTGATGTTGTTTTGTTTGAAGCGAGTACACCATTCCGATTATCAAAAGCTTCACTGGTAACACCATTTTCAGATCCCTGTAATACATTTTGTAAAAATGGTTAGAAAGTATAAAGGAAACTCAGATTATCAATAAAATGTCATATGATAAGAGTTTATTTACTTACCCGGTTATTTAATAAATACTATAAAATCATTTCTACCTATGGTCAAATAATACTATATAACTGTAAGATGCTATATGTAGGACATAGAATCTGGATATGAATGTTGGGGATCTCATCATTTCAGAAGTTGAAATTAATGCAAAAATAATGCAAAATATGTTTAATAAGCAGTGTTATGAGAACAAGACATTTAGTTTCATTTTGCCCATACAGTTTACAGAATGGTTCCGTCTTACAAGACAAGCCACATCCTTGAAAAGAAACATAATAAACCTTACTACTAGCACGATACAATATACAAGACAAAAGATATATATATATATATATATATATATATATATATATATATATATATATATACTTTAGAAAATGTACAATTTATTCGCCACTAAGTATACCTTGGACATAGTCATTGGAGTAGGTAGATTACTACAAGTTCCACTGCTTGTCATCCATTCAACAGTAGCCTGAGATGTAGTTATTTCATTATTGCTTAATTCACTTTGTTCGTTCTCGCTCTCTTCTTCATCTTCACCTAACTCCTCACCCTCTTCATATTCTTCTTGTTCGTGATCTTCATCTTCAATATCCTCATCCTCTTCTTCTTCTTCATCGGAAGAAGATTCTCCGACCATTATACAGGATTCTGGAACTAACCTATCTCCATGAAATGGTAAACATGTTGATGATTCAGGGATTGTATTATGAAATGAAGATGTATGTCGTAGAGTACCTTCTTCTTTAACACTACTAATTTCAAAATTATTTGTACAACTTTCAGAAAAATCTAAATTTCTTAATACGACAGTAGTTGCATGAGGTGGAACAGGCGGTGGTGATGATGATGGTGGATAGGAGACAAATGAACAACAGTTGTTATGTGGTAACGGTGATTGAGATGGTAACATACTAGGCGGAAAAATACTTGTAGGACTGTTCTCATTACTATTTATACCTCCAAATAAATGTCCAACCATACTAGCTGAACTTGCTAAACCAGAAATACTGACACTTCCGCTAGCACCAGAACAAGATAGTGAACAACCACTGCTACTGTAAAATGATAAAACAAAATATTTGAAAAGAAAAACTTGATTAGAACCTTGCCAATGATGTAATACTTTTAGAGAGATTAATATAAATAACAACTGGTTCCAAAAACAGAACTAATGAACATATGAGTAGTAAAGGTCCTACTTTAGTGATTTTTGGGATTAAAACTTATTACTATTCTTCAATAACCAACTAACTGGTCAAAATTCACAATTTATACAAGTTTTATATAATGCTATCAAACTTATTAGCTAAACTGTTTTGTATTTAAAACATTCTAAATTGAAGAAACGTTTCTTTTGTAGCAAACTATATTTTAAACATTTCGTTTGCTGCTCAAATTATTTTATTGACAAACCAGGTCAACACATAGAGTATATGACCACTAATTTAAAAGAGGACAAGGGATTCGAAGTTCACAAAATGGCGCTTGGAGTATGAAATACCACTTGAATAGCTTACCGACTGCTGCTAAGTTCACCAAGACTAACATCATATGTAATTGGAAGAGCAGGAACAGATACAGTTGAATGGCCATTATGATTATCACTAGCTAAATTGGCATCTCTAGCATGACGGCTATGATTGAGAAGTTGTCCATTTGTAAGGGTTCCTGAGTTCGCTGATATCATGGAGTCTGGCCCAGAACGAGCGATATCTCCTGTATTGTTAATGCTTCTATGATTCCCAAGTGCTGGAGACATTTCAGGAATTGTCGAACCACTTGCACGTCCACCAAACGTGCGGTTTGGACTAATACCACCCAAAAATACGGCACCTCCTGTGCTTGTTCTCCTTCCAGACCCTGAAGGACACACGTGAGTGTGATTAGAAGTTAGTTCTACTAAACTTGCAGCGCTCAAACCATTTGGAACACCACCACTTACACCACGACCACCAACACTGCCACTGTTAGTGGTACAACTGCTACCGCGACCGCTGCTATTGCTACCCGCACAAGAATGTGTAGTTGCCGGTAAAGCACTGGAAATTATTGTCATTCCTGTTAAACTAGTTTCAGCCATTGACATAATTAAATTATTTTCCTCCGCTGAAATAGGTGCAGATGCTGATGTCGTAGAATTAAATGAAGCAGATTGATAGGAGCCCGAATGTAAATAGCTGATGTCGCAATGACCTGGTGCGATTGGCATACTTTGAGAGGAAACTGAGCAGGAGCGGGAGTAGGAATTCATCGATTCAACGGAGCCAGACGAATCTAAATTTAAAAAGCAATTACTTCGTGTGAAATGGAAGAACAGAATAAACAAACATTAGTACGAAGTGAACAGTACCTAAAGAAGGAATAAACAGCACGGTATAAGTGATCCTTTGTTGAACTTATGGTAAATTTATGATTAGTTAGTGTGTACACTTGTGTGATTACACTTATTAATTCACCAATTATTTTTGAATACGTGTGATAAGCAAAGTTTGATCATACAGAATGAGAAAAGTGTATCGACTCAAATTTCCCAAATTTAGACAAGAACAATGTGAAAAAAATAGACGAACGGAGAACCACGTGGTTGAAAATAGCAAATAACAATGAAGAGTTGGAAGAAATAGAGGTTAACTAAAGAGTGGATAGAAAGTGTGCTTAAAGTGAATGTACCTGTGTTGGCAGAATTGACCTCCTGGATCCCAAATAAGGATCATAAATACATTGGCTGCGCATTGGACTAGTCACTTTTAGTCTCTTGGTAGCTGAACAGAAGCGTCGAAATAAAATAGATTTCATGTTATTGTATAAAATTTTCTTTCGCATGGATAAGATCATATCAATAATCATTGATAAGTAAACCGGTCCAGCTCAGTATTGATTAGATTTCATAATAGTATTGAGTTTTTTATATGGTTAAATCGGTGTTTATAAAGAACACAAAATCTTTCATTATTAATCTGAATGTGATGCATTTTTTATTAAGACTTTGCTTATTAAACTGTGTGAAGAAAACTTGGAATGATTTCTAATTTAGCATCAACAATAAACCACTTTGATAAATTACATAACGAACTGATCTTAGTTAGACCACCACTAGGACCAGGAAGTAGTGGATGAGTTTTTCGTCCCAGAATGGGGCTCCTCAGCACCACCAAAGATCGAACCCACGAATTCCGGTTCAAAGGCAATGAAAGATGATAGTGCAATATCGCAGATAGATGAAAGTTAAAACTGTGAACCATTGGATGCCAACTCAATAGTCTAAAGGTTGTGCTCTCTCAGTGAAAGCAACCACCAATGGGGTCGTGGATGAGGACTGAGTAAAAATCCCACACTACGACGAAACAACTCTCCGGTGATTCCTGGTTCTCAGTGACGGTCTAAGATTAGTCCGTGATGTGATCTATGGAGACTGAAAGCTCTCCACAAACCCATATACCAATAAACAACTTATTGACAGACAATGTACTGTGGCCAGACAACAAAAACGTAATTTTTTACCAATGATCAATTGTTTACACGACCATTAAATTGGTCACGTGTAGGAAATAATGAATGTACCAAAATTTATGCAACGACTTCCTCCTAGACCTCAGATTTAAACCAAAAAAAAACGAAATAACATACTTGTAATGACAGACACATTTGTCATATATTTATCTTTCTGTTTAGCTGATTCATCAAAACATTGTAGTACGCCAAGAAGGATTTCTGGATTCTTTTCTTGTTCTGTTTGTGATATATTTGATGCTGTTAAAAGCATCTGCCATGAAATAGGAAGACCCTAAAAAATCACAAGCACAATGTTATATACATATATGTTATGTTATGTTGAACACAATCCATATTAATCATTTCAACAAAGCAAAAAATCAACGTCAATAAGAGAAAATAAAACACAAGCCAAGAAAGAAATGACGAAACTAGTTCAATCATTTTATATTATTACTATTATCAAAGTACAGACACAAACAAATATACAACAACGTGACTGATTTACGACTTCACAAACACGTGTATTTCTCTATGAAAATTTCAGATAGACTTCATATTATTGTAAATTATTTTTTATAAAATAAAATGTTATTAGACGCTTAAATATATAAGAAAAAGAGAAAGACAACAGAATTTTCTATCTGAGGACATAGAATGATGCTTATTAGATTTAACATCTAGTGACATTTAAAAATTAGATATATACAACGAACAAAGAAAAGATAGAAAAAGTATGATTAAATGGTCAGTCGTATATATTTTTTTCTTAAAAATTAATTGACAGAATATTGGCCAAAACACTTCATGTATCTGCTCTGCACCCTAACTTCGTATATATATATATATATATATATATATATATATACATTTAGCTCCCGAGTTGACCGAAATATGTTCTGTTGTTTCTTTATTCCTATTGTTGAGAATAACTGAATCGGTAGACTAATAAGTGAAATACTGTTAGATTTAAAAATTTACAGATTTTACCAATGATAAATTTCACTAGAAATATGATCTAATGAAGCATAATCAAACACTAAATTTCACTTCAGCTCAGTAAGTAGTAAGTAATTTTAAACAATTTAGACCTAATAAATGACATTTAAAGACATCATGAAATTAATTATGTCTTGTTTGAATATAAAGGAATTGTAAATCAAGGTCCCACATTTATTACTAATAGAATATTTGTTTATATATAAATAATGAATGTAGATATTATTAGAATGATAACAGTTAACAATTAAGCCAATGAATTAAACATATACAATTATGTATAAATAACATAAAGAGAATAAAGTTGGGGAAAAAAGCAAACACTATAGCCATAGTCGGTAGCAGTAATCAATAAATTTGAATACTAGTTTGATTCTCAATAGCTAAAACGCATACACAAGTGAATTGAAAAGCATACAGAAACGGCCGAATATAGCATCATCAATCCATGAAGTTGTTAACCAGTGAGTTGAAAGATGGAAAAGTCGTGGTAATTGTAATCTTTATTTAGACAACCAAGATGACGGAAATGTATTAATTCACTTTTTTCTACATTTTTTGTAGTTTTGAACTGAGTTTTTTTTCTTGACAACTCTGTTTATAATGCATGGCTGTGAAAATTTTGGTGTACATTGCTTCAGTTGGTGCATTTTTTTGTTTTTATACTTGAGAAATTTACCAGAGAAAAAATATATGATCAGATTTATTTCTTCAGGATTTCTTGTGATATACCATGGAAATAAGTAGTTATGTAAGTTAAATCACATGTGTCAATACAGAAAGACAATCGTAATGATTTTTGATATCAAAAAACGAACGGACATAGTGAATAATAAAGAAAAATCTATCGTAATAGTTGAATTCATGAACCAACTGAAGCCAGATCACCATGGAAAACTTGGAAGCACTGGACGACCGTTTCGTCCTAGTATGGGACTACTATAATATCCATAAAAACCCTTCTCTGATTAGAAAAAAACTATTTGTATGACATACACAAAAGTGAAACTAGTAAGGGAAGTAGGAGAAAGGAAAAAAATAGAACAAAAGGTCAAACACAATCGACAATCAATTAATTCTTGAAAATAATCGTTTCAATTTGTCAAATGAGTAGGTAACTAAAGCTTATACTTTTTAAAGTAACTAAAAACAATAAACGTAATGCATACATTAGTTTATAATCATTCACATAATTGATGTGTTATCTTTCAGAAAAAATAATAGCACATATGATTAAATCATTCACTTAAATATAGTGTTTCCTAAGTGATCTAACTTGGATAAAATATACACTTGGGATGTATTTGTCTATGTTATTTCATAGATTGTTTATGCAACAATTCGCCTACGTGACTAGTAAGTAGCTTAATGGGAAAGAAAAACAATCAAATTAACAATAACTATCTAAATAAAAATATACTTCTTTCCTGCATACAAACCACATGATTTGGCTGTATGCCATAAATTACATTAGACAAGGAGAGTGTAAAATGAAGGATACATATTTATTATGATAGTAAAAAGCAAGAATTGACCAAGATGTGCAACAGATTTTCGTCCCAAATGTAGTACAACATATTTGGAAAGATGTTATTGTTCTATATCCATTATATTATTAAATCCTCATTTTTATTTTAAATTAACACATTAGATTTAATTTGTAATAACTGACTCAATAATTAAAATTCATTAAACTCGGTTTAATTTAAGTAACACTTTTAACACAATCACGACAATTAGATTAAAATATCCCGGCTATATTACAGTTAATTTGAAACAATCTTGTTACTATGATTAAATTTAAGCAAATTATAACGGACATACGTAGTACACTGCAATCGTAAAACTAATTGAAGAAATATTAACAGATTTCAACGATTGTATCATAAATTCTAGATAAAATAAAACTCAGTATACATATACATATTTAGGTACTCAGATTAGAGGAACGTTTTATTTTTGTTTTAGCTATATACTACTTGACCGCTACTGTGGTGTATACTACTTATGTTGGCAGACATAAGTAGTATGTAACACCAATCAGAAGTGGAATGCCTGGTATCAGAAGGTTGAGATCAAATTGAAGAGAACAGAAATGCAAACAGAGAGTAATTGTAACAACAATAGAGTTTGCAAGAGACAATCAATGGGTGTGCAAATGAGCAATTTAATGTATGGTTTTCATATTTTATGAAGACACTCTGCGACTTTGTATTAAACAATAAATTGGTCTTCCCCACCAAGTATTAGTTCACTACACTACTACTATTATTACTACTACCCAAATCGAAGTAATTGAATTAGTGTTTGAAAGTGTAACTTAATAGTTAAAAGCAGTGTTTCTGAAGACTACGAAGCAACTAATTCAACTATCATGTACATATACATCACAACTCCGAACAGATAAAAGTTAAACGTAAACATATAGAATAAAAATGGTGCATCGATTCAGTGATTAAAATAAAACAGTAACAAGCTGGAAACAATACACTGAATACTAAATACCTTAATAAAAACTATCCGAATACAAATCCTCTTAGAAAAATCATAACAATAATAATAAACAGAAACACCAGTTAAACTTTCCATATTTATATACAGATAATTTGAGAAATGTGGCCTCGACCTACTGTGAGCTTCCGGAAACATACTAAATATAGTAACAGGATAATTAATTGTTCAATCAAGCTGCTTGCTCTTTCTAGATGTTTAAGACGCCTTTTTATTCAATGCTGATTAACCGAGAAGTTTTCAGCGTTCATCTGACTTCTGGAGATTTTTTCGAGGAATTACCGGGAGCTCCAAGCATTATCAAAGTAAAACTTGTAAACAACGAGTCTATTCTAATCGACTTTCCTCATGTTTCTGATGAATATATTTCATACGACAAATAGTTTTCCTGTCTAAAATTATTCTTCTATCACAGACAAAATAAAAACGAAAACGGATTTCTAGCCTCATACATTAAACTAAATACAGTTCGCTGATTCATATGATTTGTCAAACGAAATTGCATAAAAAAACATACATGGTTAATAAGTAAGATTTCTAAAGATACAAAATTAATATGGCATATAAGTGAATATTTGTAACGGTACGTGTATATGAACATGAAAATGTTTTTTGTTTCTTTAAAGACTGAAATCTAAACTACCTGATTAAATACAATGATAGCTATGATATATATATAATATTAATAATTGGTGATTGTTTACCAAAGATCTACTTTGAAAGCAGTTTTAAAAGTCAAAGAAAAATAGTGAGTCAACTGACCTTGATTTCGCCTGTGGACTTATCAAATGCCACATGTAGGTTATGCGTAACTTCTGTAGGACCAGAAATTTGTGGCTCAGTTTTTTCCGATCGACCAAATTTAGGAAATCGGAACATTTTCACTAGGTAAGTAAAAAAAAACATTGAAGATCACCCATCTACAAGTTAATTTAACCATATAACAAAAAAGGCGTTTATTTTTGTGGGGGATTCAGAAAAAGGTATTGTTACTGATAGATTAGTAGAGATTGTTGGATTTCCATGGAATGCATCAGGTATTGATTTTAGCTAGACAAGTATTGAAAACTAGAAAGCACTGAACTGTTTCTTTGTAGTATAGGACTCCTCAGCAATGTGCTAAGGACAATGCGGTATGTAATCTATGAAAGTATTGTTTATTAGATGAATGATTGAGATACGTTAACGTGATAATAAGCGCCATTTGTACAGAAACTGATATAAATGTGTTTAAATAAAAATAATTGCTACATAGATGTGCACAACTACCGCACGCACAAAGAATATTTTGTTCACAATGAAAAAAGGTTGGATTTAAGATTTATTCATAAAAGAAGTGGAAATCAGTAACAGTTCATTTACTCATAAAAACGTAAAAAGTGATTGTTTGAGTCCCATACTTGACACACACAAATAATTCTAGTGAGTGTGTAAAAAGCAAAATGATTTGCGAATCCTACACTTCACTACCTGCACACTTTTTAACGGCGTTTATGTGCTTTTTAATAGTTATTCTAGTTCGATAAAAGCATATAGGTATTTGTCTGTCAGTAAAATAACAAATGAGCGGATGCAAATATTCACCAAAATGACTGAGAATTACTCAGAGATTCTTTTTGTCATAACTGCCAATCGATAACGGGATAAACTGATATTTTCAATTATGGGTGAATCCACAGAAATCAGGCAAAATGAAAAATACCTATTTTGTACCTATATGATACATACAATGGTTTAAAGGAGTTTGGCAATTTAGAAACGTTTATAACATCAGGATTTTAAAAAAAGATGAAACAAAATGTTACACACATGGTAAAATAGAAATGTGCAATAGGTCTAAACACAGACACATACAAAAGTAGATGAGGCATATAATAATAATAATAATAATAATAATAATAATAATAATAATAGTCTACATATCTTTTACTAGTTACATTACTTCTACACTAAGCATCTAACATATGTTGTGACTCAAGAAGAATTGTATCAGCAACATATTATTGTCTTTTGCAGATGAGATGCATCCATAAAAACAGTAAAAATGATACGAAAACTGACACTAATCCATTGACTTTTTTAAAATGAACATTATAAGGTGGCTGCTAAGTGAACGAGACTGCGTGTCACAAAAGTAAAAGTACAATTATATATATATAAGATTAAAAGAAGTGTGAACAAGTAGTCACATGGAAGGTTCTTAATTTCCATTAGTTCATTATCGGATAACTGATAATCCTTTAAGGACTATCCATTATAAATACTACTGATAATAGTAATAGGGGGATATATAGTATGCAGAAAAACATTGATCAATCATTAATTTTTTTTTAAAAACATGGGTGCTGTAATATATTTTTAACAAAAAAAGAGCGAAAGCAGTTAGAATAAAATCCATACAGAGCTTATAGTTGAAACATTCCTTATTGCTGAGATAATTATGTAATAAACAACTAAGTGTCGATCTAGTTAGTACACATTTCACATTCTTGTTACGAAAAATTATGGTTCACTGATAAAATAGGATAACTGTTTCATACTATTTGAAGTAGGCTTGAAAGTGCTTCTACATAACCACCTAACTATACAGGATGTTTATTAATGCTACAACTATATCGTGTTTTAATACCCTAATAAATTCTCAAAATCGCATTCAACTTAGTTTATAATAGTGTTGAGTCATATCGTTGTTAATACTTCTTGACTAGATTTCAATCGATCTTAGTACGTCAATCGAAGATTGAGTTTAACCGTTCCAAATTTGAAATAGATAAAATCAATCGATAGGTCTCTTGAAAATACCACCTACATGGGATACAATGAGAAGTGTTAGGTAAACAGAATTAAATTCATTAAGACGACAGCGAATACTTTTAGCTAAATTCCTATATTATTTTCTCATGATGCGCACAAACATAATGAATAACCACGCTAAAATTATGATAAATTATTGTTTTCAACTAGGCCACCTGATATTAATTCACCTTGGATGATGATGATTTACGTGTAATCACGTGATATGGAAATTATAGCTTAGATTATTCCCATAACCTGGAGATTAAAAAAACTGTCACAAGTGCATTTTGATATTACTAGGACTATCATTTATCCTCCACACCGTACATGTGATTTTTTTTACTAAATGATAAGTCGTTTAGTCATTTTCATCACACTACTCCACTCTGATGTTGTACTTGTAAGGTTAATGATGATACTCACGAGTTAGGCTTATTATTAAGCACAATATCAACACATTCTATAAGAAATCAGACTAAATGAATATTTCCTAGGGGTGACAGTGAGTAATGATCTTAAGACGACGGCCCATTGCCGGGAGGTCGCAGCCAAGGGGTTTTGAACCCTCTAGGCTTTAAAAAGGACATTCACTAAGTTAGATACTACCATGTTCACCACAGTATACAGATCCTTAGTGAGAACTAAGCTAGAGAACTGCGCTCAGGATGCAAGCCCCTGTTTAAAAGGTGACTCGGACATACTAGAAAAAGTACAGAGGGCAGCTACCCGAGCAATTTCAGAACTCCGGGGTTTATCATACAAAGAACGGCTTGAAAAACTGGACCTCTTTACTCTGTCCTATCGCAGACTAAGGGGAGATCTAATTTTGATGTATAGAATATTGAGAAATGATTTCGGATCTAACTTATTCTCTCTCTTTCTTCCCACTAGATCGGGACACCTTAGAGGACATAGCAGGCGAGTAGAAAAACCAAGAACGAACAAAATACCCGTGGCATACAGGTTTTCACACCGCGTCATCAATACTTGGAATCTGCTGCCTGAAGCAGTGATGTCCGCACCTTCAATTGACTCTTTCAAGAGAAGACTGGACACTCACAGAAGCATACTAGAAAAGAAATAAAATAGGCCGTAGGCCTTCTGTCCTTACTACACAAATCTGAATCTTAATAAATGTCATAAATATACCGTGATGTACTATATATGATTAGTAAAGAATGAAGGAATAAAGATGTAACAACAACAAAAAAGATGAGTCATAAACGTTTAAATATAGAGAAATATGCAAGTGTAGCATGAATAGACGAGATTGTGGGATAGAAAGAGGGCTAGAAAAATTAATAACATGTGCACACTTTCAACAAAAGAATATTGAATATGTTATTTTTTCAATATCATCAAGTTTAGATAGACTGGTATGTCTGTTTTCATGAACAGACGTAGACTATGTATACGGTATGGACATGTTAACGTATACTTAAGTGTTTTATTTCGTACTAATGACAGTTTATGGTGTGAAACTAGGTTTCAATTTATGCCGTAGTATAGACACCAAATATTTTTCTGAATACTTAGTACTGAATGAAAGTAAGATGCACAAAATGGATAATTCACACAGGCAATAAATGTAAAATATCCAGGAATAGTATAACAGGCATAGGACAGTAAAAAAACATGCAATCTGGTTATTTATTTAACTCAATCAGATATTCAAATGCCTATTACTAGTCAAGTGTACTATGCTATATTATCTTACTCTAAAGACATGAAATGACTAAACGAGAGACACTCAAGAGTTGTACGAACATAGATACCAACGTTTTTTGAACAATTCCCAGTGCTGAGATAACCAAGCAGGTGTTGAGATTCGGTGTAGACAGTTACCTGAAAGAGTGAAACTGATGAATTTATTACTTACAAGCTGTGGTTGAAACAGGTACAATGAAGATCTAGCAACCATCGACCACAATATGTTTCGACAACTGAATAAGAATAGGAAAGGGTTAAACGTGGCAAGAAATGATGATATCCATGCATAAAATTTGAGCTGCAAAGGTAACTATGGTCTTCCTATATAGTGTCTGGGATGGATCCGAAATCAATGGTTTGCGAATCTAGATGATATAGACCAGGTCGGCCATAGTGGTACAAATATAGTTAATCCTTTATGTCTTAATTAGTTATCAATAAAGGTTGATTTATTTATTTGAACACAAATATTGGTATAAAGGGGCATCGAATAAATATGCGCCAGACAAGTCACTAGATTTATGTGTGGGCTGGGATACTGTCCGGGTGCCCAGACCGAAGGAGATTTAATGCTTATACCAAGTAAACTTCTTTTCCCATCCACTTATGCAAATTGTTTCACATGAATAGATATTTATATATCTTAAAAGTAGCATTAATTTATTCTAGAGTTAACTAACAATATTCTATACAGAATGACAGACTCAATCCACAAAAACATGAAACTTAATGTGCTTTTTCTAGCGATCTCTTATTTGATGAAAAAAAAGGTGAAACAAAACTTCATAGAAGACTAACCTTTCTTTTTCTTTTTCTCTTCTTTCCCAGGTGGAGTTGGCAAAGGTTTTGATGGAGGCAAAACAGGTTTGCTCTTTTTACGCCTACAAAATGAAAGTAATGTGTTACTAAAACTCGTATTGAAATATATCTTTTATTTATTTAGTACATCAGTGAAGTTGATATACAATCTAAAGTAAGCACCTTTGTAATAAGTAGGTTTATACGACGTAATAACTTGAGTCAGACAACTAATAAATACCAAAAGGTATTGGACAACTGCTTTGTTTTAGAACAAAAATCAGAAGAGTCTATTCACGACCACGATAGGGATCGAACCCACAACTTTTAGGTCACGCGGACAGCACTTGGCTTTTAGACCCCTGAGTTGAGATACAGCAGTTTAGATATCTAAATTCAGTCATTTTATAATATTATACAACCATTCCAATTGGTGATATTTGTCAAATGATTAACACGGTCAGGTCCCCCATGGTCACGCGTTCTTGCTAGAATCTCGACAATTACCACTTGAATTTCGCCACTAGTGTAGTGAACAGAACACGGGTGGAGACAATCGGATGTATTTAACACAAACTTATAGGACTTGTTAATAAAATATAACAATCGTAAAGTAAATGCTTAATTTGCAAAATGTCCACCAATCGTCTCGAAATGACCCAGACTTCATTGTTCTTGCATTTTCATACAAATGGCATCCTGTTTCCATTCTTTACTGTTCGATCCTCTTGTCTCTCTGCTGCCAGACCTTCTGTTCACGACAAACATCACATACTACTTATGTCAATATAAGTAGCACACACCACACTAGTAAATACACGATGATTGTAAGTACAAGTGGTTGTGGAGAATGATTTTAATGATCAGAAATGGAGCTGTCTGAATAATATACTTTTTAAAATTCCAGGACCTACAGTTATCAAACGACCAACTAGTTATAGAATGAGACATTTCCGGAAATTAGCCTGGTTGAGGGTGTAATGTTAGTAGCATAGATCATTTCTGTTTTTAAGTAAAAGAATATATACTGATGTCCCACATTAGATGTATTATTTCACTAGAAGGCCATATCTCACTTTGACTACGGCGTCTTATGGAAGTCTGTCCATGAAGAAGATACGGAACGAATAACTAAACTGTCTTTGACATGAACGTATAATATCAGTTGATGGACGATACATAATTATTTAGTTACCGAAAACCAGTGATGAAAGCCAGAAATATTTACTTTCATCTTTTTCTCGACTTAGTTATGGATGAAGTTGCAGGCAATTATGTTTACTAGACTTCACATGGACTTTCTACTCAGACTTCAATCGACTTATAAAACAAGCGTACCTTTATCAGGAGAAAACACGAACGATTTATCGGATCATTGACTAATACATGTTGAATACCTTAAGTGCTTCGGCTGGATTATCAAGGTGTTACAGAGCAACGCTTGATTGAAACAGAGTATAAACGCTTAATTTAATATAACTAACTTCAAACGAGAGTGCAAAACTTGGAATAATGCATTTTGTGAAAAAATCCTACCTAAAGCAATTTCTTTGGTTAGCATAACTGACCAAGCAGAATGAATAGATTGTTAGTTCTGTTAGTGAAGAATATCAAGCAACTGTTGAGAATCAGTAGATAACAATAGAATGAGTTATTACATATGCTGCTTCGCTCACTAGGTCACGTGGATATCAAATAAAGCCTTGTCTATCTTGTTCAAAAATTCACATAATTTTAATGATCAAAACATGTTAAAACACTCGAGTTACACCACAGGAATATGGATTTTGGTTAATATGTACCACCCTAGACTTGACAAATCGATGGTACAAGTTGCACAACCTGATAGTTCCGTTTAAGAAAAACACTTAGGATGCCGAGACAACGAGATGAAAACGATCATTTTACCTGAGTCTACTAGAACATACCAAGTCAACCCGTTAACCATAAACGTTGTAGAATCTGAGACAGATGTGCTACACCACGTTAGAAAGACAAGACGAAATAGCAAAGTGGTTGAAGTAGTAGTGCTTGTTAATAAAAAACTAGACATTGCGAACTTACTTTGAAAAGGAAGAATGAAAACAGAATAAAAAGTATTAATATTCTGAAAATGCAAGATGAATGGATTTGTGCCGCAGCGACCGATTTCGAGCTATCAACCAATGTTTCAAACCACAAATAGCAGTCGGTTCAGATAAAAAGTCGACGACTTCATGGAGTAACGTCACGTTTTGGTTTGGGCACCCCTAGCTTTTGTCCAGCCTATTATTATCCGTCATTATTGTGTTGAGGTACGTAATGGTTAGGTATAATTAACACATATCTTAGCTAACTCAGTCTATGAATACTTAAAGCCTCACAAATCGAATTTCTACTTGCATGTAATGTCCTGTACAACTAGCACTGTTCACCCGATGGCTGCATACTTATTCACCAAGTAAAGGTTTTATATACTCTGAGACAGTGTGCTGGTTAATTATCCAACCTGGTTTTGCAAACAAAGGTAGATAAAACGTGGTTCGAATCTGCGATTTTCTAGTTGAAAGTTCTTTAACTACTAAGGCACAACTACCATACATAAGCAATACTTCGAACATATCTATGGTCAGGTACTTGCAGTTTACGCATCTTTCCGCTATATAGACCGTTCCAGTCTTAGAGCAACATACGATGGACCGCTGTATATTATGTAAATCTTTTGATCAGAAGACATCATGTGTGAATCATGTGATTTGTTTGAACACAGATATTGGTACAAAGGGGCACCAAATATATATGCGGCACTGGTAAAAGCTGAAGAGATGTGAATGAGTTGAGATTTCGTTACTCCCTAAACTATCATGGGTGATAAGGCTTTCAATAAGTCACATTGCCCTTGCCACTAGTTACTTTAGTCCCTATGATAAGAATATACATTGAGAAAGACTACTCCTGGAGCAACATTTTGCATTTAGAGGGAGGTAAACGCATTCTAAATGCTCTTTTAATTGCTACTCAGGGCGATTAAGAACTGGTGTCAGTATTCCTACCAAAAAAAACTATCTCTCTGTAGTTGGTGTGGATAAGGGAGTCTCTACGTTAGGTGAAAATTGTTGTTTCCAAGAGCATACTTAAAACAAAGTTAAATAAAAATTAGGGGACGCGAACAGTCATGATGAACAAATACATTTAGGCAGTAGTTTGGGAATATCTTATCCAACCACCAAACCTTGTTTATTTTTTTACTACAGCAAAAATTTCACTTTGAAGATAACCACGATAAATTAGTGTCCGCCAATAATGTCTACATTTACAATTTACATGTTAGTGCACTGATAAAACATGGAAATGGTTTCAGATCAGTAATAACCAAACCAACGAGTTTTCCCTACTTTAGTTTAACAGCTACAGTTGACTGTGCATTTGTTAACGTAGTTTATACTGAACGACCGTTAATTGGATTTAGCAGCAGACGAAGAACAGAATACAGCCTGGAGTTGTTTAATACTTAAAGGACTCGACTTTCAGTCGTTGAGCTACAGCTAAGAGCTTTGCTTCATTTTGATACATGACAGTAATACTAGTCTTTGTAAAACGTTGGTGGCTAAAAACACATGAATGTACATTTGGTTACCGACTTGCGTTAAACTTTAATTATTGACCTGACCAAGACAGTGGTCAGCAAATAACTGATCTAATGTAGTAAGATACATCATTTACAAGCAAGTTGAATGAGCTATGGTACAAATATGGTAACATCATTGTTGAGGATGTAGAATTCCCAAATATAACTTATGAAAAAAACCAGTTTTAAGTTCGCATATCAGTTTAAGGTCAACTGTCAACACATTTTTGTTACATTAATTTATTGAGTGAATTTTGTTCATGGACTTTCAATGTGTTTCCACTTGTGCAGATAATTCTCCTAATGTCTTGACCAACAAGTACTACACTCACTCTGGTGTATAAGGAAAGAAGAGGATATAATGGTCTCATTCACAGTATTGAAGTTGGAGTTTGGTGCACGGGCGTATCAACCATATGAGAAGCGAACATTACATTTTGAGGTTCTTCATAAAACTAACAATCGGTCTCCGAGGATACACATTGATATTTAAATTGAGCCAAATTTAGACGAGTATAGCAAAGCTGAAGCGAAGTCAAGTATGAAGTGTTGAAATACCGTAACAACATTATTTTTAGGGATGAGATTCGCACTTTAGAAATACGAAGTTCAGCTGACGTCCTTGATTCAAATAGTTTACTTACACCGCTTTCTGAAAACACGGATCCACGTGGATATAGAAGGATCAGCTTGGGAGCAGCTGTATGAAGATATTAACTCAAAAACATGTAAGATGGTTTATGTCAACATTATGTTCCCTGAATTAATGAATAAGGACTGATTCATCTGGAGTTGAATAAATAAATCTGAACCAGACTATTATTGATCTACTAGACAATAGGAACTCCAAGATACCTTGACAGATTAGGGTGTGGTTTTAAAATCGTCTACTAATCTAATTTTGTAGACCATTATCTTATCCATACAAATGCGGAATTAGGTTAGGAACGTATAAACTACTTACAGTTCTGGGTGATAGAGGAGAAAAAAACATAGTCATATAGCCAAACATTAGAAAAGGAATTGATTTCAGTCTGACGAATGAAACTCAACTCATCTCTTTAGTTGGCTAACACTGATTATAAAATTTTAAGGGTCAATTTGAGTCACTTAACTTTACGTGTAGTTAAATATGTTTGGCAATTTTACTGCGTGGAAACTAATAAATTAGGATGTAGAACACAGCATCCTAAGTTGAGTAGCGACTTACTTTTGAAGGTAAATTATGACTAATACAGCTATCTCTGATAGGCGAGACCATAACTTATGGACAGCAAGTCTTGAATTTTGGCACGAAATCCAGTTATTCACGCAGTCAAATGGCACTTTGGAATTATAGCTGATATTAGTACGTGATGGAAAACCTTAACTCCAATCCCTAACTTTGACTTGTAACCTCGAATACTCTCCTGGCCCTAGTAAGATGGTAAAGTTTCCCAAGTTCACCAAGGTCCTTTGTAAATTATGGTCTCGTCGATTACTATGAACTGGCTTTATAACTGTTAGGTTTAGCAGCAAACTATTGCTGGCTAACCTTCTTCCGTAATGGCTTAGTAGTAATTGGATTGTTACAGACAACAATAACCAGTTGCGAATGGTCTACTGCGAATTTTTCATTCACGTCAAAAAGGAAAAGCAATTACAGGATGCCCATCAGTTGAATCTGACCGACAAAAACCACAACCTCCCCTTTAAGCACTTGTCCTAACAGACTAGACAGTGATAGGTTATTTTATATTAGTAACTCAATCAGGGAAGAAAACTCAAATCGCAGAACATTTTCAGGGATAAAACGTTTCGTAAAGACTCACAATGTACTTGAAGACCTGATAGGAGGAGCAGGAGCATGGTGAGGAATCTCTGATCCATGAATTAGGAAAGTAGCAGATGGCGGTGAAAGACGACTGAGATTATTATCAGAAGGACAAACATGGTCATCTAGTTCGCAAAAGCTACCCGCATTCGAGATCACGTGACTTTCTTCACCTGAATTATTTGCCTGACTAAAGGAACGGTCTGGCATCATGCGCAGTTGACGAATGCAAAATGTTAAAATCCATTTAAGTAAACCCGTGAGGACATTGTCCAACCGAATCCGGAAGGCTTTTGTGAAATTATATTTCCAGGAATCAGCGAGAATTCAAAAAACATCTTCTGCCCTCTAGTAATCAGAAAGTCAATCAGATATTAATCCAAGAACGCGAATAACTAGTTCAGTGTCATAAAACCAAACCTGACCACAGTACAACCAAATGTGCCTCCACAATTCACAGTTATTAGTTATCTATGTAGTACAGAAAAACAACATGCAACACCCAATTTTTACAGAACAAGAGTTAGGGGGAAAAATGAGTTGTGTGCTTGAACAGCAAACTGAAAACAATCATCACAAATCAAACATTGATTTGAGGCTCAAAGTCTGATTATTATCCATATTTTCGTAATTTCACTTCATCTGCACGACCACTTTTAGTGACCATGAAAAGTTATTAAGGCCATCATGGAATTTTCCTTGTGTAACTGCTTATCATTAGAAACTTTGTGAAGCATTTCAATACTTGCTTTTGCATGATAATAACTCACTTTACATATGCAATTTGTTCTGACGTCGTTATTAATAGTCTACTTTCAGTTTTGGTGCACGAGAGGGTTAATCCAAGACCATAACTTACCTTTAGACCTCAGTCCTAGCTTTTGTTGCTTGATGATATACAAATGAATATTTGGATCACGTGAGTGGTACTAGAACGAATACCCAAATCCCTTCAACATATGGACTCTGGAAACTGAAAGCAAAGTAAATACCCGTTTGGGTGGACAAAATAGTTAGAGAACGGAAGAATTCAGCTACAGTATGTTGGTTTGACTAGTCAGTTCAGTGAGAGAGTTTCTTTAGACAGTTGTCTTGTTGTGAATGAGTTTTTTAAACTCAATATAAGAACTCGAACTTTACTTTCCTCATAAAATGTGTCTTATACCATACGAAGTCTTGAAGCAATACAGTGTGTTAAAAACGAACTACATTGTATAGTATATATCCTAAATATTTTCCCACTTCTGGCACATCATACAAATTGTAACCCTGGCGAACACATATCCTATCCAAATTTTACTTCACTAAGTTACATTCGTAACTCCGCCCGTAGCTCTTCTAGGGTTACTGCCGGTCCTAAGTCCGGGTAAAGGAGGAGTGTTGGGCATGGGGTTAGCAGTCCCATCCCATAGAAAATTAACTCGCTAAAAAACGCTTACCAGAAAAATGTTACATTCGCGCTGAAAAAAAGTAGAGGAAGAGATCGGCAGAACTAACAACAAACAGTGGTTGATAAAACTTGGCTTTTGCAACGGGAGGTCAGAACTCAAGCTAAATGCCGATGGAACTTCAGGTAAACCATGAGAACTAAACACAGGGTGTGAAGCATCTTAACAGGGTATTATAGCCCAAAGCCCCCAATCAGAAACAGTAAATTATCGATCGAATCAAGGACGAGTAAATAGCGTGAGAGCAGCCATAGTCCTGATTGGTCCTGCTTTCCGCCTAGCACAACCAGTTAAGTCCAGAACACCAATCTCAGCCGCCGCAATAATAATCCTTATATACCAATCAAACAGACCACAACGTAGCATAAAATGAAAAATAACATTACGAAAACTGGCCAAATGTGGCTGTGAATGTGAGAGGCAGTGACTAATGGACGGAGCATAATTCAAGAATGGTAAAACGTTTAATAATGGTTCATAGGTAAAAATAAAGCTTATAATAAGAGGAACATGAATATGAATAGTTTAGTTATTTAACAATTATACGATAAAAATATAAATTTAGTATTGGCCCATAAAAGGATCCCAAAGTTGCCATTCATTATGTTTATTGGGACCTAACGCATGGAAGCAGTGAGATTGAATGTCGAAGAGTAAAGTGAGGTAATTGCATATTGATTTCGAAGAACTAACAGTAACGTAAATTGTTCAGATGTCCATATCGCTTCATCACTAATGCATGTTAACTAGCGAAACCAGTATAAGGCATAAAACATGGGTCCTAGAAGCTGCAAATGCGAAGGAAGAAATCTCAGTATCTTTTCAGTGGTTGTCTCATTACCAGTCATACAGCGCCAGAGACAACCCAAATCCTTTGTACCACAAACATAGGCGGACTGAAATCATCACCCTCATCATCAATGTTTTCTGGGCAGTGTTATGGTTGATGGTGGTTCTTACGGACATTTTCTGAATGTTTCCCATTCTCCACCCGAATATCTTCTAGTCTCTTTAAGTTTTATTGAGTCGTGGTGCAAGGTAATTTTAAAACTCATTGTATGCGACACCATCGACAGTTAAACAGCATGTTATGGAGATCAAAAGAAGACTCAAGAGACATGGTTATTTATTAGATATTAAAAACGAATGCGAAGTATATAACGAAAGAAAAAAGTATAAAGCATATGATTTTGCGATTGCGAAATATAGAATTTGTATTACAGATGGTATTAGGGGGTAAAGTATTTGAGATAAGTGTTATGAACACAAGGTGTCAATCGGTCGTCTATCCACAAGTTTATATGTTGGTTAGAATCGTTGAATATAGTTTGACTTAGATAAGCTGTATCGTACGAACGAGAAACTTCAAATTGTTCCATAAAGCAGTTAAGGGGAGATTTGAATAAAGTAAGAGTTTGGCTTGACAGGATGTCTATTAGTAACCCATTCCAGAGACCTGTGTAGCACGTGACAAAGAAATTTGATTTTAATTTGGCTGACGTGTTCGTTATCCTTAATGCAATGTCCTAATTCTGAACATTATAATTATTATTTAAGGAAATTTTTAAAGTACTGCGATGTACTGTGATTTTAATATGTAGACTTTTGTAAAGTAAGGTAAGGCTAAGTTCATTTGGTCTAAGCTATAAGTGACAAAATGTGTGATTCGCTCTCGTTTACCTGACTTACAACCTATATCCACTAACCCTATACCAAATATATCGGTTTACTAGTAAGGGTTTACACTTTTTTCTCTGGCGATGTTAAGAAGTGAGTCTTGATCAGCATTACTTAACATATAAACTCCCTATCAACCAAATGTGATTAAACATGTATCGGGATAGAAGTAACGAGACAATTCAATCAGAGTTCACATGTAGCAACAAAGACTAAACAAGATTCAATCCTGCATTTCAGCAATCGGATAGCTCAAACCCATCCTAGTAATTATATGTACATTACAACTGTCGAAAAAGTTGGTGCTATCTGGCCTCAACAGCTCACTGAGTAACTCATAATTGTTTGAAGCATTAATTACTTGGTATAAATTTGAGATAAAGGTACGTCCGCCTAGCGAGTTTCAAGTGGGGCAAATCTTGCCTTCTTGGTTCCATTGCTAACCACGACGCAAATATATTGAAATTACTTATGTGTTAAGTGTAGATTGTGGATCAGCGACAAAAAACTTCTCTTGTTCTGACTACAGTTTAGCCAGACCAGTTTGACGGCGTTCCGGAACGTTCTTAGTAATATTACCTCAGTAAAGAAGATCCTACGTGTTATAACTTCTGAACCTGTGTGCCCTGTTGTATAACGCAACGATACCACTAATCAAAGAGCAGCGAATTATCGACCGAACCCGTGACGCATAAAAAACGTGCGAGCAGCCCAGAGTCCTGATTGGTCCTGCTTTCCGCCTAGCCCAGACAGTTGAGTCCAGGACACCAATCTCAGCCTCTGCAATATGAATCATTCATTTCGGACATACTGAGTTTATATGTCAGCCAGACAGACCACAACGTAGCATAAAATATGAAACAATATTTGTACAAGAATTAGCCAAATGTGACTGTGAATGAGGGAGATAGTAATTAATAGACAGGCCAGAACTCGAGAATGGCAAATCGTATAATAATGGTTTATAGGTCAAAATAAATCTCATAATACGAGGAACGTGAATATGAATAGTTTAGTTACATAACGATAATACGACAAAAATATACTCATAGTATTTGTCCATAAATGTGTCTCAAAATTTGCCATTCATAATTCTTATAGGGGTATAACACTAAGGACATCAAATGATTGCTCAAATGAATTTAATTTTAGCTTCCAGATAATAAGATACGCGTTGCTCAGGCCTTCAGTCAAAACGAATTAGGTATGAATTTTCCGAGGTCTTCCTAGCAAACTAATGGTTTGATATAATTTATTGTTGATACGGTCATAAATGAATCCAGTGCGTTTTGGTTATTACCTTCAGCTGAATTAAGTGTAGTGAATAATGCTGCAACATTTACTCTTCTTCTAATACTCGTTGTCCAATCTCTCTTGAACGAATCACAATTAAAAGTGAATACATCTAGCGACCAAAATTTTGAACACTACGGGATGGAAATAGTCCATATCAAATAAAATCAACTTTGAACAATAATGGGCACGTCATTTCCATCATGTATCAACAGTTCTGTTGTCAAGTCGTGAATACATCAAAGGAAAATAAATAAAAACTACATAGCGATGGTTATGCAGCTATCTAAACACAATGAAAGGTTGATCTGAAAACTTCACTAATGTTCAAACATCATTGTACAATCAACATAGAATCATCTTTTATCAACTTCTTTATTTATTGTAATTGAGATTTCATTGACTGAACAATTATTGGGTGGATAGCCAGGTGGTAATATTTGTTTAGGTAACGATTTACATTTATATTTATGATGAATTATAGAACCGTTATTTACCCGATTAATTGTTTTGATTTTGACGGGCAAGGGTGCGTGTCTAATCTACCTGGAAGGCTATTCAGCAGTCCAAACCGTAGTTTGGATTCTACGCTGAAGTATATTAAACAAAATGTTCTAAACAAACAAGGGTTATCATTCTTTTTTGCACTAAATATTGAACGCCTACAGGAAAATTCCCACATCAAGAAGGACATCAAGGACCTAATTTTATTTGGTTAATTCATATCATGATTAGACTTACATAACTTAGTATGGATGCAGAACAGTATCCAAGATCCCAAGGTTTGTTCGACTACACTAAACTACGTGTTTGCCATGTTTTAAGAGATTATGAGATCATCTAAAATCGGTGAATGGAACGATGGTTCAGCAACACAGCAACAAGACAAGATAAATTGTTTCTATGCGTTTTAGGCTTGATAGCTAGAGGGAGAAGACCAGGTCCAGATGAAGTAAATATATATTTCACAAGCAGCCAGAGGCACGAATAACAACAAATACACAACTCAGTTATATATATAAAATATAAAAAGTCCTTGGAGAACGTTACA